TTTCTGCTTTTTGTTGCATTTGTTGAATAAATTTATCAATCTCTATATCACCACTTGTCCATTTGTCAAATTCACTTCGAAATTTTTTGGCACTACACCCATTGCACCAATTTCTTCCAGTGTTATTTTGAAAACATTTCTTACACCTCCCATATTTGTTTCTAAAAATTATTATTGATAATAAGAATTATAAAAAATTTTTCATTGTTAAATTAATTTAAAATATTGATTATAAAATGCTTACTTGCTGTAATATAATGTGATACAATAAATTGATAAATAATTCAAGAATTGTCATTTAATATTGAATCAGCTTGAAATATTGATTTAAATAATTAAGAATTTAAATACTCACACTCTGTAATATGCATGTAATAGATAATTGAATAGAAAAATATTATTTTATATTGAATTAAATTGAAACTTTTTCAATAACTATGAATCTAAATACTCACTGTCTGTAATAATGTAATTAATTAGAGAATTATTATTTGATATCAAATTAAATTGAAATTTTGATTTTAATGATTGAGAATCAAATACCTACCGACTATAACATATACATGATACAATCAATTACAATTAATTAGAGAATTATTATTTGATATTGAATTAAACTTAAAACTTTGATTTCAATTATTGAGAATCAAATGCTTACCGACTATGACATAATGTAAATGCAATTAATTATTTGATATTGAATTAAATTGAAAAATGGATTATAAACCTGAATACTCACCGACTGTAATATAATATTTATGTTATTGATTAGAGAATTATTATTTGATATTGAATTAAATTTAAACTTTGATTTTAAAAATAACAAATCTAAATACTCACAAACTGTAATATGATATTTATGTGTTTAATGATAATTGATTAAAGAATTATTGAATTAAATCAAAACTTTGATTTCAATGGATTATAGATACTCACAAACTGAAATATAATGTGAATAAATTGATTGAAAATTAATTAAAGAATTATTATTTGATTTTGAATTAAAATCATTGGGTTATAAATCTAATTACTCACCCCCTATAATATAATATTTATGTAATTAATTCGATAATTGATTAAAGAATTTGATATTCAATTAATTGAAATTTTTATTTCAATAAATTATAAATCCAAATACTCACCGACTGTAATATAATATTTGTGATAATTGATTAGTGAATTATAATTTGATATTGAATTAAATTGAAACTTTGATTTTAATTATAGATACTCACAAACTGAAATATAATGTGAATAAATTGATAATTAATTAAAGAATTATTATTTGATATTGAATTAAATTGAAATTTTGATCTCAATAATTATAAATCTAATCACTCACCCCCTATAATATGATATTTATGTAATTAATTGATAATTATTAGAGGATTATTATTTGATATTGAATTAAATTGAAACTTAGATTTCAATGATTATGAATCTATATACTCACTCACTGTAATATAATATTTATGATAATTGATTAAAGAATTATTATTTGATATTGAATTAATTGAGACTTTGATTTCAATAGATTATAAATCTAAATACTCACGAACTGTAATATAATGCGGATACAATTGATTGATAATTAATTAAAAGAATTTATTTAATATAAAATAATTAAAATAATTATGAATCTAAATACTCACTAACTGTAACATAATGATATATGATTAGTTTATAATTAATTAGATATGACATTGAATTAAATTGAAACTTTAGTTTCTTTGGGTTATAAATCTTAATACTCACCGACTGTAATATAATATTTATGTGATTAATTGATAATTAATTAGAGAATTATTATTATTTGTTATTAAATTAAATTGAAATGTTTGATTTCAATAATTATGAATCTGAATACTCACTTTCTGTAATATAATGTATATATGATTAGTTTAGTTTATAATTGATTAGAGAAATTTTGAATTCGTTTGTAACTTTGATTTCAAAAGTTATGACTCTAAATACTCACTCCCTGTAATTTAAATTAATGTGCATGCAATTTAATTTAAGAAATATATTTAATGTGGATTAGCTTAAACTTAATTTTAATACAAATTTAAATACTTGCATACTATATTTGATATTGAATTATGATTGGGTTATGAATCTAAATACTTACATGCTGTAAAATAATGTGATGCATAGGTTGTTGTTAATTAATTTAAGAAATATCGTTAGATTGATCAATAACTAATTAGACCCACCCCCTAGGATTTAATTAATAAATTATCTCTATAAATTAATTTTATAACTTAAGGAATGGAGAAATAGGAGAAATTGAAGAAATAAAAGTGCACGTTTTTCTGTAAAAAAAAAGGAAAACAAATGTATTGCAAGCCATATTTTTTAGGAATTTCGATGATCATGACATCAAAAGAAATTGGTGTTAAATATCATTGCATCTTTATTTATAACACAATATACGCAAAAATCAATTCACTTTACGTATTATATTTTAATTTTTATTAAATATTCTAGCCAGTAATAATTGCAATAGTAAATATCTTATGATGCAATAAGATGTGTTAAAAAATATTTATTTGAATAATATACTTGATTAATAAGAACTATAATTTTTTTAACGACTAGCGGAGTCTTCTCTAATAAGAGTCATAATTAGGAAAACTTTTTAATCAGAAAATAATCTATTTATTTTTAATATATATTCTTACCTAAATATTTGACCATTAATTTTTTATATTTTTTTAATACAGTAACTAAAGTGGGGATCTCCTTAAAAAAAGTAATTATTAAATTTAATGAATTCTTATCTTTTATATGTAGATTTCAACTAGTTGCTAACACTAATTCAGGCAATGTGAAATAGCATCGCAATCTCGAATCATTCACATTTCGTGAATAATTTACAAAAATGTAAAAAAGTATAAATTTAATATTTTCGACAGTATCACACTGAGCAACGATGTAGATTATTAAATTATTTTTAGCTAACTCTTCTATTTATTTATTTGTTTTATAAATTTTATATTTATCTTCAATATAAATATAATAAACGTCTTGGAGTGAGGCTCCGTTAGCATTCTTTTTAAAAAAAATAAATAATAATAATAATACAAAAATTTTTTTTGCTTATTTATTTACTGTATTTTATTATAGAAATCGAATTATTACAAAATTTAAATAAGACAGATCACGTTTATAGAATTTATCGATGATCGATAACAAGTAAAGCAATTGACATAAATATATGTCTGTCTTTAATATTATTATAAACGCTTCATCCATCCAATAATTCCTATTTATATTTTCGCTTATCACATTTATATTTTTATTTCATTTTCACTTTCTTGTGTTCATTTTCACTTTCTAAGTTACTGTTCTGTATTTCCTGAAATTTCTAAATTAGAATATTGGACTCTAATGAAAAATATCTATTAAAGTAAAGTAATATCAGTACATAATTTTCCCATATCTAATACTGGGCATACTTTAAGAATTAAAAATAATATTGAATAAAAAGTATTAAAATAAATTAAAAAAAAAAAATTAAAGCAAGATTTTGCCTTTAATCCGTTTGTATGATAAAATCCCATGCTACTCCACAATCTTTCTAACACAAATACTAAAAATTATTTTGGATAAGCATCTTGAACCCAATACTAATATTCATGAATATTATTACTAAACTGAGATTTCGTCATTGAAAGGATATTTTTTTTCTTGTGTAAAATCATAAAAGTCACGCTTTATAATAATAAACTAGCCATTTAGCTAAATGTAAATAGTTAATTTGCCATATATGATGAATTTAAAAGCCAAACAAAGATTGTTCCAAGATTTCCATCTTTGTTGCAAACACGTTAAGATTCTATCGGCTGTCTTCATATCATATTCTTCCCAAATTGTGAAAGATAAGCAAATCCATGTAAGACTTCATATAATAGGGTGAGTTTTATCGTTTGTAAGATATAAGGATCTGACAACAAAGCTTTATCAGTTTGTAAGATAATAACAATTTCCAAAAGTTTTCATTCATAATTATAGAATAAAATTTCACGTCTACGACGTGTAATTAAATCAGATGGCTCAGATTTTGTAATGATAATAAATATAACTAATAGATTAAAAATAATAAATTAAATATGTATACAAGTAGACTTATACCTAAACTTACACTACTTGAATACGATACATTTAGTAAGTATATTTTGCAAGAAATAAATTTTTATTTTTTGGAAAAAAGAAGGAATTTATATTAATTATTTGTTTAGATTCGAGACAACGATTTTTTTCAATCCTTGTTTATATGATTGATAAATTTATTCCTTAATTCGAAAAGGTTATTAACTGTGTTTAAATTTGTATAGTTGAAGATAAGATGAAGAAAACGAAACCCTATAAATGAATGTAAATTCAATTTTGAATAATTGGTTTAGAATTAAATTTGTATCTTTTAATTTAAATATGCTATGTTTATTTTATACTATTATTTATTATTTTATTTATTCATTTATTTTATCATATTTTATTTTTATATTTTTATTATTTTTCAAATTATAAAGTTATAGCTTTATTTAAATTAAAGCAGACCAGTATGCAGTTATTTTCTTTGAGTTTCTAAAATCTAAAATATTTGTAATTATTATAATTTGTGTAAACTGTGCAAAGATAAACTAAAATCCATATGAGTTGACTTTCCTTTTAACTTTATAATTGATGCGGAAATCAACAAGACAGTCAATTGCTAATATAATGTTAAAAAATGTATATTATATACAGTATTTATTTTATTTTATTTTATTTTTGAATGGAAACTTTATTCTTTACAAGCAAAGAAAAGAATATGGAAGTTTGGCGACGGTAAATATTTAATAATAAAATACATAATTTTTATTTTTATTATTTTTATCTTTTTTTTTCAGTTTATTGATAAGGAAAATTCTGATCTAGATTTCCCTGATTTACTTGCAAAATTGGATGGTTATCTTAAAAGCGAAGTTATTATTTTTTTTTAACCAAATTTATTTTTTATCTTGTACATAAGTTCATGAAAGAAAATTTAGTTCGTAGATGCATTTACTTCAAGAGTTAAGATCAGTAGAAGAAGGATAAAGTTGTTTCTTGAATATTTAGTGGATACACGTAAAATCAGGTTTGTTGTTAATTAAATTAATATTATTAATTTTTTTTTTTTTAATTTTTTTAAATTTTATTTGGGATCGATATTTATTAACAATTTATTAGTTATTATTTATAACAAAATTGTTATAAATTATTTTTTATATAGGAAGAAGAAAACAATACTGAATGTGTATTATTATCAATACAAGATAGTAAAGCAGAGTCACTTAAAAAAGAGTCTTGAATAAAATTTTGATGCATCAAGTATGTAATAAATGACTCATTATATTAGAGATTTTTTATTATTTATCACATAAAAAAAACAATAAATAACAATAATATTCAAATTATATAAATTATAATAATAAAAAATAAGAGAAAATGAATTCATTGAACACAAACAAGGTGGAAACGTATCTTTCATTCTTAATGAATCAACCGATGGAAGATTCTTTTTTCACAAATACGAATAAAATTAATACTTTCTTACAATCATCAAATCGATAAAAGCAGATGAAATATTGTTAAAATTAAAAAAATTAAAAGTCAAAATATTAAAAGCGGAATTGGCCGTCGTCTATGGAAAGGTAAATTTTATTTCAACAATTTATTAAATATTTATTGAA